TCATCTGCATAATGCAGGTTGTTGATGTGTCTTTCATCAGTCCTGATACCAAATCCCTCCTCATAAAATTTAGCATCCCGAATGATCTGATCTGCATATAGATTGAAATGATACATAGAAGAAGGACACATCTCTGATGTACTCCTCTTTTATTTTGAACCTTGCAGTATTTCCTTGCTATGTTCTGGCAACTGCTTCCTGGTCCAAGTATAGGTTTTGCATGAAATCAGTCAGGTATTCTGGGATTCCCATTTTTCACAGGGTTAGCCACAATTTGTTGTAATCCACACAGTCAGATGCCTTTGCATTGTCACTTAAACACAGATATACATTCTTCTCTTATTCTCTGCTTTCAGTTAAGATCTGTCTGATATTAGCTGTGATGTCTCTAGTGCCAAGGCCTCTTTTAACCTTATCCTATATTTCTGGTAGTTCACTGTCAATGTACTGTTCCAATCGTTTTTGGATAATGGTAAGCAAGATTCTGTTTGCATGTGATATAACTGATACTGATCGGTAATTTTCATACTCTGTTGGATCACCTTTTTGAGAGAATGGAAATAAATGTGGATCTCTTCCAGTCAGTTGGGCACATAGCTGTCCTCCAGATTTCTTGTCAAAACCTAATGAACATATCTAGTGCAGCATCTGTGTGTTGAAATATATCCGTTTGTATTCCATCAATTCCTGTTGATTTTTGCCAGTTTCTTCAGAGCAGCTTGAACTTCTTTTTCATCACCATTGCTTCTTAATTTTATGTTGTTTCATGAAGTTCTTTTGTGTAGGCCAAGTCTTTTTGGTACAGTGACTCTGTATACTTACTCTTTCCATCTTCTTTTGATGCTTCATGGATCATTCAGTATTCTGGCCATAACATCATTAACTTTGTAATGAAATTAGCTAGACTAGTAATTCATGAAGAAGAAATGTAAACAATATAGAGTTGAAAAGCTTTTCTGCAATTCACTTATTTGGCTATTTATTCTTTTTAAAATTTTTTTATTATATTTTAATGAAAATTTACAGAGATTTTAGATTTCCATTCATTAATTGTTGCACTATTCTCCCTGCCCACTCCTTGTCTCCAGTTCATTCTTCTCTTTGAAAAGTAAAAGAAAAATTCTTTGATTGTTACACAGTCCCTCCCACCAAGTCCACTTCATTTTGCAGCCTTGTAGAAACAGTAGTTGATATTTGTCATTGGGAAAATCTGTTGTGAAAGACCTCATTAACAGGATGAAAATTAAAGATGTCACTTTAATGAGTAAGGTGTTACCTGACCCAAACCATTGTCTTTTCAGTTACCTCATATTCCTATGAAATTTGATTTAAAAAAGAAAGACTAAAGGAAAATGAATACATTTCATTTATGGATTTGTTTGTTTTTTGCAAAGATTATTAGATATCTATGGATTGTCAGAAGAAAGAACAAATTGTTCTTGGACGAACAGAACCAGAATGTGCCTCCTTAGAAGAAAGGGTGGTTATCCTTTGTCTGGTTTTGGACACGTTCTGAGGGAATAACAGTTGCTAAGAACATAATGTTTGTGCCAATGACAATGTGGAACAGTCTCCATAAAATAAATTAACATATGCCTATACCAGTTGGTTCAGACATAGCAACATTTGAGAATGATACAAGCACAGACATTGTTTTGTTCTGTGATACATCAGATTGCCCTGAGTCAAAAGTGGCTCAATAACAATCTTCAAACATACCTTTCTTTCTTTTTTTTTCTTTTCAAACTTACCTTTCTTTAACTTTCTCAGTTAGCTTGCAGAGTCTGTGCTGCTATGACTGTTATTCTTCCTATGAGTTAATTCTTTATTTTCGTTGACTCTTTCATTAACTGATGACAAATAATTTCTCTGTAGTTCAGCAACTTTGACAAAAAAATTATAGTAATAGTACCCACTTTACAGGTAAATTACAATGTTTAAATTACTTAAATCATGTACTTGGCACATAATAAAGTATCCAAGTAGTGACCTGATGCTAAGAGTTCAGCTACTAACTGTAAAGACTGGTGATTGAATCCTACTGGCTGCTCTATGAAAGGAAGGTAGAAGCAGATTGTCCTATGAGTGTAGCCTTGAAATTCCTATGGGGCAGCTCTCCTCTGTCCTCTAGGAAATTTTCAAGATGGAATAGACTCAAGGCAATAGGTTTGTTTTTTGTTTGGGGCATCTAGTGTTGGTTTTTTTTTTTTTATGTCTTATTACAGTTACCAGCAATATTTTTAATTTCTTTATATAGGTTTGACTGCTCCTTGGGATATGAAAAGATATTCTTGTGTTCTGTATTCACACTAGGATATACTAGCAGCACTGAAAAACAAGGAACTCATAAAATACTACACAGCATGAGGACATTTTGCTGAGTAAAATATCTAGTCTTAAAAGGACAAACACTATATAACACAACCATTATAAAACAGGACTGGCATGGGGCTTGGGGGAAACTAAGAAAAGGGGATAAATAGTGGACATTGCATTGGAAGAGATGAAAGAAAGAACTGTTTAAAAGGAATATATGATTATGTATTATTTGTATGACAATCAGTCCAGAATAAGAAGTGTATTACAAAGGAGATGAGGGTGGGGAGGGGTGGCTTGGAGGGAGGAAATTATGCAACAGTGTAGGGATTTAAAAAAACAAAACAAAACAAAAAACCACCCCCAAAAACCCCACTAAAGGGTGGAGGGTTGGGGAGGAAAATGTGCAGCAATGAATAAATGAAAAAATAAAACTTTTCTGTAAACTTTAATTAAAATCACCAAAAAAATGAGAATTTTGCTTATATGTTATTGTAAAAAGAGAAAAGGCCATGTGGGTATGTCTATATGTGACCTTTACCAACTCCACAAAGGGCGGCCGTCCCAATCTACAGCACCCACAACATAAAACTAATTCCTGTTAAGTCAGACATGTCCCCCCTACTTCCACACCTTGTTTTACTCCTGCCAGTACTAGTTTTGCTGCTTTTCTAGGTTCAGAATCTATTAGAATAGCTCAGAAGCCATACAGTACCATATTAAGGAAGTCATAATTCAGGTTAGTAGCAGAATTATGTATCAGTCAGTCAGGATAGCTTCTGAAATGTGCTCACTGGCCCCTCAGCCTTCAGCTTAATGGCCTTATGCCCCTCAGTTCTCTAACAAACTTGGGCAAAAGACTCTTAGCTCTGGTTTTTCTTCTGTAGCAGTCACAAGTCAGCTCCACCTCATGATCGCATTCTGGTTACTGCCATAGCCCTTGATCTGACTCAGACAAGAATTTCTGACCCCAGTGGACTTGCTTGGTGGTGAGTCTCCAATTCTATTGGATCTGATCAATTTAATGATGAGACTACCCATTCCCTTTGTGGATAGGCTAAATGCCCTATATGCATATCCCTGCCTATCCTATGTGACCTTTGAATAAATGAAGATAATCCTATATAGGAGTTCCTGAAGTCAGATTGTTATGAAGATTATGCCAATTTAGAGAGCTCTGATAGCATAATTCACAATGAGTTGCATTGCCAACCCAGAGGCCTTGGGTGTTTCAAATCCACCAAGGCTCCTTTGGTGAAAGACAGACAGTTTGCTAAGTTGTCATTTATAACCTTGGAAACTTGGTGATACGATCTTCAAAGCTTGGTGGAGGGTCACTATGAGTTGAAACCAGTTAAACAACGATGAGTTGGGATTACATGTCAATTTATATAGCACTTAATACAAATCAAAAGTTATACTTGGAATATAATTATATTTTACTCTCAATAAATAGAGAATCAGCAGATATACAGAATAGCTAAGAGTGCTAACCAAATGATAACAATATAGAATATACTTTCTTCTCAAGTACACGTGGAACATTCATTCACCAGGGTAAACCATATTTTTTGGTCAGAAAATAAACCTTTGCCAATTTAAAATAAATTATTTCCTACAAAGATGTCTTTAATAGAATTAAAAGTAGAAGCTAATAATAGAAAGATACCTAGAAAATTCTCAAATATTTGGAAATTAAACATTATCAACTCTGTGATGCATGGATCAAAGGATAATTCCAAAGGAAATCAGAAAATATCTGTACTCAGTGAATCTATAACTGTTGCCACCAGCTAAAGCAGTTCTTAGAAGAAAATTTATCACATTATCTCTTCATGTTAAGAAAGAACAAGATCATGAAACAATCATCTAGGCTTTCACCTAAAGAAACTTAGTGAGAACACCTATTAAATGGTTTCCAGGTCCTGTTGTGTAAATTCCGACTCATAGCAACTCCTGTGTACAATAGAAAGGAATTCTGTTTTGACCCACTTTTGACCCACTCCATCCTAACAGTATTACTATGTATGAGCACATTATTAAAACCACCATGTCAAACCACATCTTTGAGGGGCTTCCTCTTTTTCTCTCTCTACTTGACCTGACCAAACATGATGTCCTTTTCTAGCAGCTGGTGGTTCCTGATAACATTGCCAAAGTACATGTGGTGGGGTCTTAACCTCCTTTTAAAAAATTGTACCTACTAGAGAATTTTAATTTATAATGTAGAACGTTTTTAGATTGTAGGTCAAGACTGAGGCTGATAGCTTGCTGTCTGATTTTGTAAATATAATTTTGTTTGACCACACCCAAACTAATCTGTTCTATAAAGAGAATTTTAGACAGAGACCATAAGGCTAGCAAAATACCTACTGTCTGTTTTTTTTCTGAAAATGTTTACCGACCTCTACGTCTAGAGTAATCAGTTTAGATACAGTTTTTAAGTGTATGTTTAAAAGATAAGAGGCAATCTCCCTTTTGATTAAGAGTCTTCTTAATAAGTACGTTTTCTCTTCTAGTCATAAAATAAGGTACATAGAAATGATTAATTATGGATTTTATAGAAATACTAATTCAGTTCACAAATTGGTTAATATCCTGTTTCATAATTTATAAAATAATTCCACTGTTTTAGTTTAGGATATTTTATAGGTTTCTGGTTTGTTTTTTTGTTTCCCTCATAGGTATATGTGGAATTTGATGATCTTGAATGGGACAAACGAGAGTGGGTTAAAGTTTATGAAGATTTTGCAACTTTCTTGGTGGAATACCACTTAATCTGGGCCAAAAGGAAGAACCCTAGGCAGACTCAGGGATCAAAGAGCAAGCAAATTCAGTGGCCTGCATTGGTAAGACTATTTTTACTTTATTGCACCTTTGAGTCTTTGTTTTCAAAGTATAGGAAATGAATGTAAGAGTTTACATTTACCTCGCTTGTTATAAATTAGTATTCTTGAATAGGCTCTGAAGTACCTGGAAAACAATTTCAAAACAGATTTTGTTAAAGAAATTTTATGTGTCTTATTATTAGAAGGTTTAAACATCTATATAAATAAGGGAGCTCTGGTGTTAATACTCTATAGGGAATGGTGCTGCTACCCTCAGCCTTGGAGTGGAATAAGATGGACAGTAAGCTCAGAAACCCAGGGCAGGGGCCGCTGTGCATTACTTTCATCGCAATGACAGTGAGTTAGTCAGTTTATAAATAGTTTAGTCTACAATATTAGTTTTAGAATATATAAGTAGGATTAAAGACAACAGAGATAGTTGGTTAGTTTAAATGGAACACACTGTAATTTAGCTGAAAGAGATACTGTATATATACTTTGAACAGCACATAATTTTTTTGGTTTATTAAATTCATTTAAAATTTAGTAAATCTTTGTGCATGATAGCAGATCTTAAATGTTATGTTCATTTATAGATAAAATGAACATCAGCAAATATTACAAAGCAAATATAGTCGAGTCCAGTATATTTTCAGCTTATTTTGAGAGTTTTATAAAATAAAAATATACTAACTTAACTAGAACATAAATTATCTTAGGGAAAGAGCCACATTTCTTTTTAGCTCTTGTTTTGTGGTTGAATGTATAACATGTAACAGATAATACAGTTTATATTTGGGTAAGATAATTTTTTAGGGAGTTCTGATGAGCTAGTGGTAAGGTGCTATGTTGACAACCCAAAGGCACCACAGTTCAAACCCACCAGCTGCTCATCACCAGGAGAAAGACAGGCAGTCTTCTCTTATTGACTGACTACCTCTGAAAACCAAGTGGAAGATCAGCTATGAGTTTCTTCTGACTCAATAGCATATAACAACAAAATAATTTTTACATTGTAGTGAAGAAAATATTTTATTTAAAAAGCCATTTAAACCTTATTTTGATATTTGATATATCTGATGTGTCAGAGTTGGTTCTGATTTGAGAGTACTCAACAGTGTGTCAGAATAGGTACTTGAATTTTTTTTTAAAAAAATGTAATCTATAAGGATTGTTTTCAGTTGCTAATAATTTTAATCTATGAAAATTTTTTGTTATCATTTAAATTATTTTGTATAGTCACTTTTATTTCTTTGAATATTCCATTTTTAAAATAATTCCAAAGAGGTAAACAATTGAAAAGAAGAGGAAGTGAAATTAAATAAATGATATTTTAAACGCAGCATAATTATGGAAAGATGATATCCTTAAACATTAGTTCTAGTAGGATACTTTGAACATTCTGATAGAGTAAGGAAAATAAAGTTTTTCACTGTCAAGTTTTTAAAAAGTAATTCTTGAATGAGTATATTGAATTATATTAAAGTTTTAAACTATGAATACTTATTGATAATACATTCTTTATCCTCCAAATGGTTTAAAGCCTGTGAGTAATTATACTTATGAATGTTGTATGAGGAAAAAAAAATCTCTAAAACGAAAAACAAGTAGCTCAGTGATACAAAAACTTCAGTATCAGAGTTCAAACATAAGCAGTACTTAGAAAACCTTTGCCATTTCTTTTCTCTCATTGCCACTGAGTCACAACTGACCCATAGCTGACCCTCCAACAGCTTTTACTATTTCTTAAAGACATTTACAGTTGGGATGGTTTTCCTCTACAAATTAATGATTTTTAAGAAAATTTCTATTAAAAATATTTTTCATCATCATTTTTGAAACAGTATTTCTCTTGAAAACCTTTTGTTGTTGATTGTTGTCAAGTTGAGCACAACTCATAGCAACCCCTGAATAAAAGACCTGAAGCCTTTCTATAATTATACTCATTTCTCAAAGTTCATAGTGTTTCCAGAGGCATGCTGTTTAGGAAGTGGATTTTTTTTTAAAATTCCACTTTCTCATTATACAGAACATCACATGCATTTATGTATATGTTGGAGATATTGTCAGTTCAGTTCCAAATCACCACAATAAAGTGAACAGTACAATAAAGCACATCACTATTTTTTGTTCCAGTATATATGGAAGTGACATTTTAATTTCTGTAGTCTGTCTATAATAAGTCTATAGTCTGTAATGCAATAATAATTATGAAAAAGTTTGAAATATTGTGAGAATTACTAAAGTGGGATACAAACATGTAGTAAGCACATCTTGGTAGGAGAAGAAATGCTAATATACTTGTCTGAAGTAGGTAGATAAAAAATTTCAGTTTGTTAAAAACAAAACACCACATGTCTTTGAAACACAATAAAGGAAAGCTACCATTTATTAAATTAATAATAATGGATTCTTAGTGCTGCAGTGGCTAAACACTCAGCAGCTGACCAGAAGATTAAGAGTTGGCAGTCACCAGCCTCTTTACAAAAGAAAGATGTAGCAAATCACTTCTGTAAAGATTGACCTCAAGGATTGCTATGTGTTGATTTGATGATACACTACAAAATATGTATATATACATATATACAAAAAATAATGATAAATATAGGAAATGGCATATGAGCAAGAGCCTGTGGTGATGAAGGAGGAAGTTCAAGCTGCTTTGGGGGAAATAGCCAAAAATAAGGCCCCAGGAATAGATGGTATACAAGTTCAAGTATTTCAGATAACAGATGTTGCCCTGGATGTGCTCACCAAGTTGTGCCGGGAAATCTGGAGAGCAACCACTTGGCCAACTGACTGGGAGAGAC